TACAGATTACGTAGGCAGCCATAACCACCGTGATAGGCTGCTCGGCTGTAGTGTTGGGCAAGAGAGACGATACAGCTTTCAGAGGCACCCAAATCACAGCCAAGGTGCACTCAGACCAAAGCGCCCGGCAATTCAAATGCCAGTCAGTATATGCCAGAAGCTCTTGCCAGCCTGCCTGTCCATACCCTGTAAAAGATAGAATTGAGCAACAAGTAAAAGAACCAAAAGATGTGACTGCGAATTAACTTCTTGATTTTGCTTAATCCACTGACATCAAATTACCTGGGCAGTGTCTCCTTCAATGTAATTACCTGTGTTTCACATCCAGCTAAAAGCAGCATTCCATCCTTTCCAGCGCGTCTCTCTCTTTTTTAAACTATCGCTTGCTTGCAAGCCTGGCGAAGCCTCTGAAAATTTTGCATATTTTCCTCTGGATGGAGTCTGAATTCCAAAGGTTATCTAACATTTTTGGCCCATGGGGCGGGGGAAGTGAAGGGCAGGAGAACAGGAGAGGGTGCTGGTAGCGGGCTTCCTGCAGGCTGATGTGATCAGTCACAGCTGGAGACATAGAGATCAGCTGTTCAGACTGGCAGGTGAGGCGAAAGGCTCTAATTAAGAAGGGAGCTACTCAGAAAGAGCCTCGGATCCCAGAAGAGGCGGTGCCAGGAAGCAGGTAGAAGTGAGGGGCATGGGGCATTTTGATTGCATCCTGGGGAGAGCAGGCCCAGCCCCCAGGCCTGTAGAGCTTCCCAAAACAGCTAGAATGCACTTCATTTTCAAAAATAGCTCAGCAGGGAGCCACTAACCCCTTCCTTCCTCTTGCAAAGAAAGCCCCTTGTTTTTTCCTAACAATGCAATGCAGGTTCAGCTAACCTGCCAATTACTCCACAATACGAACTGTGTGTGTTGTATTATTTTGCGTTGTGACAAAGAAATCCCTCCTCACCCAATCACTAAGCCGAAAGCGTGATGTACATTAATTGAGCACTCGCCCCAATCCTGGGTCCTATAGGGCCAAATCCTTAAAACTTGGCAGGAAATCTGAATCCAAACTTATAATGAGTTCTTGCATAAAGATGACATGAGACCAGGCATGTAAATTTGAATTCTAGTTTCCCAAATAATGTTTATAAATAAACCTCTTCCCATAACTCCCTTTAACAGATATCTGTCTTTGCTGGCACTGCTGAAGTGTCTAAATGTTAAATATTCAGTCCTGCTGGGCCCATGCATAATTGGGAAGTCAGTGGAAGAATCCAATCTCCATGAACAAACTCTCTCTTCTAGACATAGCCACTCCTCATGAGTAGGGTATACGTGATTTCTTATGTACAAATCCAAGGGAAAAGTGAAATATGCCATCTGCTGTGATAGGGGTTCTTATTAAGGTTGAGGACCTCTTCATTAAGGAAAATCTCCTATTTAGTTGTTATTCTTGTATCTTTCTTTAAACTGAACATTTCTGGCCTGTCTAATGTTTTCCAAAGTTTTTGTAGTAAGAACTTAATAGTCTCTCAATGGAAACTTCTATCATTCTAAGTAGTCTAGCTATTACGTGTTTTAATAGACTCATATACCATAATAGTCATACTTACCACAATTTTATGATTGTTCTGTGCCCAAAACAATAGCCCCTATTGCTAGTCCCTAGCCAGCACCCCATTTGGTCAAAGCAAACATATTTATAGCAGAGAAAAGGAAAAAAATTCAATAGGCAGAGCTCTCTCGTTCATGTGGCCCACTGCCTCCTTGGTTAATTCCACAAGCAATTAAGGCACTCAGTATCATGTTGACTACAAAAGTACCATGTGCCTACCAAGGACTAGACTTCTTTCTTGAAGTTCATAAGCTGTTAATTTATATATCTCTCATGGAATCCTTCTCAGATAAACCTATTCTCTCCATGAAAACCCTGTGACAAACTGAGTCTCACACGTGACAAAGCCAAGAATCCAGCACAGATCTTCCTGTGCCCATTCCAACTTTTCCCCATTACAGTTTAGTCATATCCCATCCAAGGAAAGTGCCATAGTATTGGCTTTGTCATGTGGCATGAACAGTTGTTTACTGATACTTCATCACCCTCAAAATCTTCTTAGCCATTCCCCACAGTGCACCTGAGAGGACTGTGCAGTTCTTGAACTCTGGACTTGAGAGTGTTAGTTACCTACCACTTGACTCTTGTTTACCCCCTCACCTGCCTCCTTATCACTGCCTTTAGAAAGCAAACTCCAGGATGTTGTTCATCTTGTTCACTAGCAGTATGGGAAATATGTAAAATGCAGAAACATAATGCATAAGTTTATTGTAAAGATCAAATGAATCCAGGCACATGTGAAAACTCTCAGTTGATTCTCCTTTTATAGTGTGAGATAAATCCTCCAACAACTCCCGGAACTAGTTCTTCCTGCTAAGATAGATATGGATTGTCTTTCAACATTTAGAAGTATTTTCTCATAAGTATATTTTCAGAAACCTTAAAGTGTCTAGAGTTTGAAGAGTAAGTGTGTGAAAAGTAATTGTCACAGTGTTTTAATTTGTGTTGTAGCGACTTCACCTGCAGGACTTTGAATTAGACCCTTAACTCTGTTAGGTTCTCTGATGAGGTGAAGAGCAGGTCACTCATTAGTGAATATTAATTAAGAAATTATATGAAGTATAGTATGTGCATTTATTTACAGATGAAAAATACTCTTGGAGACATGTTTTCCCATAGAAACTGCTAGTCGTTTAGATTATAAATTCAGGTCTTTTTTTAGTTATTGGATTAGAAGGTATTTTT